GTCGTATTGCGCTAATGCAAAATGCAATTGAGGTAAATGGCATCGGTACCTATTTATCATTAGACAACTCAGTCTTACGACTCAAGCTTTTTCCATAGTGCTTCTAAAAGAACAATACTGACATAATTTACCCAAATGGAGTTAAGAGCCCGAACTACAGATCTATATCATTTGATATAGCGCATCTTAATTTGTGAACGCTCAAATAACCTGCTGATAATCGTGATAATCGAGTAAAACATGTTATCTTGCATCCCTAAACTTTTGATATGTAAATACAAATATTCAACCTTAACAAAAATTTGCCAGGACAGCGGTATTATCCCGCTCTTGATTTCGATTTCCAACTGTCGAGGGATCTCGTGCACAACCTGTAGCATACGGTCTTCGGTTTATTGTTCCATCCGAGCGACTAGACGTCAGTCCATCTTACCTACATCACTGACAGGAGGAAACCGGGTTGAAAAATCCGAAGGTATCATCTCGAGCTATGCCGGGATTGAACCCTAGACAATCAGGTTAGCGAGCAAGCGTCTAACAAGCTCTTACACCCTTAAAAAGGGTTTAACACTCCAGGCCTCTAACCTTTTTACGTTATAACATTTCGTGGTTCATTATCCAAATAAAACCCATGACATAATAATATTCTTAGATATTATCCTGAATCATGAATCATGAATTCAATTATTTTCATTTCCCTCTCAAATTTCAAATACAGCTTCAAAAATATTTTATTTACAGTCATTTTTTTGCAATTGTAATGTTTCTTTTTACTTGAGTGTCTGGGATATTCACAAAAAAATGACACTTCAGCTAAGGAGGCAAAATAGTTTGTTTGTTAAGTTTACACCAGGTTATCAAATCATGTTTTGATCTTTGTTACAAATTATTTTTAACTCTATGTCTAAACTTAACTTCATCTAAAATACTGTCCACCCTAAAAATAAAAAAATAGGAAGTGAAATGATATTTTCACCTCAGATTTTACATCAATTGGAATCTTCAAAACCGTCTTTTTTTTTTGGACGACTGTGTTAGAGGGAAAGCTGTGCAATTTACGGGGGTAATTGAGAAGTTCTAGAAATGTACAAAAATTGCACAATTCCTTCAAAAATATCTCAAACTAGGAATTTCTATTTCTTTTCCTGTTATGTCTTTACTATACATGGCAGAGTCTCAAGAATAGACGCGTCGTCATTTTAATTTTCAAACGCGAATAATTCTGGACGCACATGACTCAAATTATGACAGTGAGCTGTGAATACCATTACAGATTAGCTTAACTAAAAAATTATACCCGTTTCTGACATGTTGTTCAGACATGGTGAAATGGATTAAGCTTCAAACTCTTCCAGATGAGCAATGTATTGTATTTATTCACAAAATGTTAATTCGTAATTTTCGGATAAATGCATTCAGCCAAAACTGTGTGAAGAAATTAGAATGTGTTTTTAAAAAAATTAAAAATTGACATTTTCTGACAACAGACATGAAATAACGAATTCCCCACTTGAGTCGTAATTGAAATTGAGTTGAAGGTCCATTATTTCTGCTCAAAGTTTTGAATAATGTAGACAGTCAACGACTTGTAATGTTAATTTAATTGTTTTCACGAGAGCGGCGTTACCCTGCTTTTTATTTTACGTACACTTGAAAATATTGAAGAACATCGCCGTGGCAACGATCCGTAAATATTTGTTAGCACTGTACAAGCTACAGTTTTCATATGATTTGAAACAAGTGGCACCGGGGATTTTTAGCTGGAAATGGAATTAATCTTTTAATCTTCCATTGCATGGACTATGTATAAGCATGAAGAATGATAAGATCTCAGACAAGTTTGAAGACAAACAATTGTCCTTGAATCAGTGAAATCTACCAAAGTCTCGTCCCAATGATGTTAGTTTTAACAATCAAATCGTGTCACGTAAAACCCGCTTCTTCATATAATAAGGAATTGTGTGATAGCCAAACTGAAAGAGGCTGTCATATCGCTCTACTTTAAGAATCGATATCCCACAATTCTTTATTTTATCACGAAACGGGCTTTACATGAGACGCTTTGATCAGTTGAAAATTCCACTTTTGGGACGGAGCTTTGGTATAAAAAACTTGTTGAATTACCATTGGGACTTAATATATCCGAAAATAAAAAATATACGACATTATAATCTAATTTTAATTTTAATAGTAATCCAGAAGAGAAATGTCCAGTAGCTGGCGATACTACAACAATGTATTTCATTCATTTATGTTTAGCCATGAACTTTGAATCCATAAAAAGCAACATTATGTGGTTAATGTGTATTAATTATCCATTGTTTGAAACATGTTGAAATTATTAGTTTTATTATACAAGAGCCTTTTTGTTGGTTAACGAGGGATCAACATGACGCTTTAAGACTTTGATTTGAAAAATATTGTTTTTTGATGTGGATTAGTGTCTCTGATTCTTGTGTGGATCAGATTTAGAATATACTCAAATTACACTTTAATCAAGTAAGCGGTTTAGTATTATACATTATACATACAAAAAATCTAGGTTATTTTGTTTAGGAAAGGGTATATTATAAATAGATAGGTATTGTTTCCAGCTAATAGACTAAAACTACTAGTAGCAGTTTCAAACTTAAAATCATAATTTTTCTACTCGGAAAATAATTTTCATCATCTATAACCAATTCCGTCATATAATGTGATTAACCAGATGTCGGATTATCGTTATGAAAAGATTACATGTAGCTGTCAATTTTCAGTAGTGCGAAAAGTTAGATGGAAGTATTACTCTAAACATTAAAATAAGCTCCATAAATGATATCAACCTTTTTATACTGAAATATGTTATTTGACTACAATTATGTTATTTCTATAAATATGTTTTTATACTTCAGACGGGCAGTGCCAATTGGCGATTTATCGCCATACAGAAAACCAAATATGATATTATTAACAGCAGCTTTGATATTATTTGTCCCTGTGGCATCGGCAGTAGGTAATTTGAACCAATCGTTTTCTAAGCTTTCTTTTGTCACCCAAAGACACCATTAATGCCCGACCTCAATTTTTAGTAAACATATACAATATCTAGAAAATTATATCACGAAATGTTGTTTAGTATAAGTACTGAAATTAGCATAATAATGGTACTCCAGACTTATATCTACATAACAACCTAGTTTTATTGTCAAATCAATAGAATGCAGACCGACTTTTTAATAAACAAAAATGTTCGAAATATGTACGAAATGACTTACAAAATTCTGTGGTATTTACATGCATATGTGTTCACGATTTGAACCATATTTGTCATCTATTTTCCAAGCACTGTGCTTTCTGAATCGATATTAACTTCCAAAATGTATGTAATTCCTAAGAATAGCTACGAGTTTATTGATATAAAGATCAAGTTTACTTTAAGATGAACTCATTTCATTCAAATTCAAATTTCCCCTTTAAAATTAAATTTCTGACATCATTTATTGATATTCCATGTTATAATTTGTAATGTCACAAGCACTCTACATCAATCTTTTCGACGTTAGTTGGACAGAATAGGTCTGAAGACAATACTGTCATTGCAAGGCATGACAATCGGTTCATAGATTCCCGATTTTTCTGGGTACATTGGAAGCTTATATTTGTTATATTATGTTCTATTAAGATATCGTGCAACCACTTCATGGTAATTGTTCGGAGGCATACGCCTACTGTCACAAACTTGCAGATTGTGTAGAAATTCCAAATACCATCACCTTCCGTTGTGTATGTAGTGAAGGCACATTTGGAAATGGTTTGAAAGAGGAAGGGCAGTCGGGATGTCAAGAAAGTAAGTACTGTAACTTTAAAAAACACACATTGAAGCAACTAATCTTAGATGTATACAATTGATCAAAATAAATTCATGAAACTTTTTGGAATTGGAATCTGATTACTTCACTGAACACGAGTTCTTGATTTGTATATTATTCAACGAATGGCGTGTTCAGTGTTCTCAGCACTGAGAGATTTGGAATACCTATACTGAAATGCAGAAGCCGCGGTGGTTCGGTGAGTTAGACGCTCGCCCAGGTCAAGATGTAGATAATGAGGGGTTGGAATGGAAAAAGAGTCTAGTCGTTCGGATGGGACAATAAACATGAGGCCCCGTGTGCTACAGGCCATTTTTGGTCAGGTGTGGCTGAACATCATTTAAAGAAGGATTTATTAAATCGAGAAGAAGGGAAAAAACTTCAGAAAAAGTTAGGGCATCGTTGATGATATTATGTATAACACTCTTTACATGTGTTCAAATTTCATGTGCAAAATATATATTTTTGCAGCATCGTATTCGTGTACGACGGATGCTTCGTGTCATCCTAATGGTTTCTGTAATAAGACTGATACAGATAAACCTATCTGTTATTGTAGTAAAGGTTTTACTGGGGATGGAAAACATACTTGCGACGGTAAGAACTTCCTCATTTATCCTCCTTATACAGATTTTCAGATGTTTCTACTATAATCTAAATTATATTTGTTAATCGACACCAACAAGAAACGTTTTGGTTGCCGACTGTTTAGTTAACTCATTTCAAGCTTAATGACAACTACTTAACTTTTTTTTTCTTCACAAACATCAGTGTTGTTCAGGTGACGCTCACGGACCACAACTTAAGCTTTTCTATTTGTCTGTTCATTTTACTTACCATGTATATTCATAATTGTCGATTTGAATTCGGGAATTTGTATTATACAGAATGTTTGAGTACTCAGAGTATTTTTAAACTGACATAAGAAGGAAGTAAATCGGGATCAGAAAAATATGTCGGATTAAGCAGAACGTCAGAGTACTCAGATGTCGTATATCACAGAGTATCGTATATCACAGAGTATACTGTAATTTGACAGTTTTGGTTTGGCTTTATTCACTATTAAATTAAATTTCGTGGTAGTTTCAGAATGCTGTGCTATACTTAGATCTCTCTCAGATCTTAGATTAAATTTTTGTTATAATTTTAGACATCGACGAGTGTCTGACCAATCCCTGTGATCCTAATGCCAACTGTCAGAATACACAGCCAGGATTTAAATGTGCATGTAAACCGTTGTTTGAAGGGGATGGCATGACCTGTGCTCGTAAGTAAATATCCCAGATTTATTGGATCGAAAGTGTAGTGTAATAATAAATTTGCTTGTCGGTTTTTGTGATATTATTCATATCTAACAATTTGTCTCCTTTCCTTTTCACTATTTCCACATCATCACCATCTGTCATTTGATTCCTGCTTATTTTACAATGCACATATTATTGTCATTTATATGCTATAAAAATTAAATTAAATTTAGTAGATTATCCACTTTTTGACCATGCATCATCGCTATATTTTACCAATCAGCGGTAGAGTATATAAAAGGGGTGGTCCAGAAAAAACGATAACAATTTTAATTTCAGAATTTTTCAAAAAGTATCAAAGCTGAGATCATAATATTTTACCCTCACATTTTTCGGGATATTAGAAATCGCTTCACCAAATAAAAGCTTTAAAGGTTAAACCATACCAGCATTTTTAAAATTCCTTGTCAAAAATATAATGCTGTAAATACTGTAACTTCTCCTCTTTAATTAAACAAATGCACCACGAGAATGACATTTTCATCCAAAGATACCAAAAATCTATTTCTATGAAAAGATTGCCTTCTGAATTTTGAAATTTGGAGTATTTTATACAAAAGATGATTGGGGACCACAAACCTCAATAACAGGTCAAATAGTTTACAGTGTTTTCTCTAGCTGATACTATTAACAATGGTAATAGTCTGCAAGAACTAAAGGATAGAATTAGAGAGAAATGGACCAAAATACCACATGAACAAACCGGACAGGCAATATCTTGTCGTTAAAAAAAATGGTGGCTATATTGAGCATTGTTTCGATTAAAGATGTGAAATTATAGTAATTATTTTCGGCATTATATTTTTTTTACAAGGAATTTTGAAAAAGCCAAGATTCCAAAGTTGTTCAACCTATAAAGCTGTAATTTGGTGGAAAGATGTCTTGTATCCCTAAAATTATGAGTTGGAATTATCATGACCATAGCCCTGACACTGTATGGAAAATCCTGAAATGAAAAGTGTTATGTTTTTTTTTTTAACCACCCGATACAGTTTGTAATCAATAGATTTTACCAGTTATCATCTATTGGTATTTTACCATTTATCGCCTGAAGAGTTTCAAGTTCATTTATCATCTTTATATATTTTCATTTTTTCGTCTGGGCAGCTTATAATTCATTAACTACATATATATTTAACATTTATCATCTTTATCGCCCTCTTAATAATTTGATTAGGTTATAAATTATCAACTATATATTTTTTCCATTTATCATTTATCGTCTGTATATAATTCATCTTTACATTTTACCATTTACTTTATTTTCTATTCATGTCTAGCATAATGCTGCAATTTATCACTATATACATTAATATGCATCGTCTTTAGATTTTATCATTGATCGTTTTATATTACTGTTTTTCATAATTTTCTTTATTTAACTTTTTTAAGTCTTTACCATTTAGCGTCTGTATATTTAATAATTAATCTTTATATTTTATCATTTATCTTAATGTTTACCGTTTATAAACATAACAGGTTCTATTTATTTTTTGATGCTACAATTTATTTCCATATATTATTATTTATTACCTTTATATTTTAGTTTATATCATATTTAACTATTCCCTTTTTATCATCAGCAGGCTATATTTTACAAATTATAACATTTTTATTCCACTATTTATCATCTTTATATCATTCCTAGATTTTACTTTATAAAATTGTCATGTATACCTTTTTCACGTTGTTATTTATACTAACAAATAAATCATATCATATACCATTTGTATAGATTCATCGACATGTAAATGCATGTCTTTTTCTTCTTATAGATATATCCCAAAGTTGCAAATAATAAATTCATCCGTACGCAATGTACATAATGTAAATTATATGTATATTTTATTGGTGACAAATCTATATTAATTTAGGTTCTTGCAGTGTGAAACAAGATTGTTTCCAGCCGAATGGTAATTGTATAAATAATCGATGTGTTTGTGACAAAGGTTACACTGGTGACGCTGTTAATAATTGTACAGGTAAGAACATTCAAATTACCCAAGTACATGTACTTGTTGACAAAAGCATTTTATGAAGTTCCCCGCAAATTAGTTTGCTACATTCAATCCGGACTCTAAGAGCCTGCAGTATAATTATGGGCGTCGGCTGTGAAGCTAGATTCCTTTCTTCTTATAATTTGAAGTACCTTATGCAATGAATCATAAGTCATTGATTAGCATTAACATTAATAACAGTTTTGTTAATTCAAGTTTAAATAGCATATTGTAACAATTTTCCTGTTAATCTTTTCCGTAATGAAAATAACAATTGCTTGAATCGCAAAGTTTAACCAAGAGTATATTTTTTTAAAAGAAAAATGATTGCTTAAAATTTGGAGTAACAAGCTGTTCTGATGAGGACTTGTTAGTTCTTACCCGATATATGTGTCGGCGCATAGGTCAATTTAACTTGAGTCAATTAAAAACCTGGTCAGGTACGTACTGGAGAACATTTGTGTTTCAGATATTGATGAGTGTGTCACTGGAGATTATGTTTGTGCTGAACCATCAGAGTGTGTGAATAACCCTGGTGGATACAGCTGCCAATGTCCAAATGGATATGTTGAGGAACTTGCTACCTGTAGAAGTAAGATCCATATTTTCTAGCCTTTTGATATATCATGACTTGTTTATTTACTTCACACATCAAATTTTGAACTAAAAGGCATAACTATCTTCATGTCACTAAATGTGCTTTCAGAGCTTCCTATTAATTGCCAAGAAATCTATGAAAATGACCCAACAGCAGTAAGTGGTAGAGTATTTGATATTGATCCTGATAGTACAGGACCAATTGGAGCAATGAAGGTAATTTCTCTAAACTTTTTTTTACGTGTATCATTTAACAATGAAATGAATCTTGGGTTTTGTACTAAAATGCACTAGCCTTATTTTATGTTACCCCGTCCAAACAAAATCTGTTTCCTATTCTGAAATCACAATCCTTATCTCCCACTTTTAATCTTTGTCGTAACATTAACAATACCTCACTCTCCCATCAGAAAGATGCACCCATCTCATACATGATCATATTTCTGATTTAATAGTTCCATGTGCTATTTTAAGTGTTCCAGATTCTGTTTAAAAATATACACGAGACCTAGTCACAACAGTAATCTAAACGGAGATCTGGAAAATACTTTAAAATCTGAACGAAAAGATGCTCAAATATCTTGAATAATTGCCATCTCCCGTCCAATGCTTCCATCTCCTGTCAAAAACTAGCTTCAGTCCCTGACCGAAAAAATGCCCCAAAGGCAGATCGAACACCTATTCATAAACTCTCGCCATATCCCTTGCAGGTTAAATGTGAATTCCGTAACAATATGGGTATATCTATTGTTATACCAGACAGCACTGCGCCTACAACTGTAAGCGGTACTAATAGACCAATAACTTATGAAGGTGCCTCACCGGAAACTATTAAAGGTTTGGTAGATAACTCCCAATTCTGCTACCAATCACAGTGGTAAGTTACTTGTTTATAACCGAAATCGAATCCAATGCTAAATGGACTGTTATGGAATTTAAAGTTTATGACTAAAAGACTGTGAATATGTTTTAGAAGAAAAGCACCACAAATTGTCAATTCTCTGAAAAAATATTTAGTAGTTCAAGGGTAAAAATGGTTTTGCGTCTTACAAATATACCTGTACATTCAATTTTAGAATAAAATCATTGATTAATTAAGTATGAAAATGTAACAATATATCTAGAAGTTTATTCTCTAACAGACTTTGCTACGTACTTTCATTAACACTCACATGAGTTCGATTACATAAAGGGCACGTTCGGGGTGTAAAACGACCCCAAATTTAAATTGTATTACCTACTTCGGACTTTCACAGGATTGAATGTAGAAAAGGATATAATCTTCATGAAGACGGTGTATTCCAATGGACAGATTCTAAAGGCAAAGTATATAAATCATGGGGTGGATCAGGAGCAAATGGCCAGGTAAAAACAACATTTCCAACTTGAGAAATCATTTAATCTGATTAAAATGCAGATCTTTGTGTTTTCGTTTCGTTTCTTCTTGTTCTTTCGGTTTATCCTACGTGCTATCATTGATCTGCCGAAATTGTTATGCACATTTTAAGTCATTGAAAGGAACTGATGAATGAAAGCTTTTCTAGTTTGGATCGTGGAATTGAGAAAATCATAGAAATTAATCTCTTCTATATATGCTTCTAGGTGTGTGAGGTGCTTAAAGCTTACTTCTTTAGTTAGCCACTTTCCTGGATAAATGATTACGGAAAGAGGACCGACAACGCCATTTGTCCAATGCTATGGAGAACATATCATTTCATTTAATTTCTTCTTAATTGAATATAATTTTTTAGTTTTATCTAGTTGTAGTATGACTGAACTAAAAGACAATTTACATGTATTTAGTACATGAAAGTAAAATAGTCCTACTCATCAACATAACTCTTTACGTAGAAAGAATACACCCGTTACAATAGACCAAGTTTTTTACTGTCGGATTTATGTTTCTTGCTTACAGTGTGCTTGTGGTGTACTAGGATTTTGTGAAAAGGGTACCGCATGTAATTGCGATGGAAGTTCAACAGACACAGTTGTTGATTATGGTAAAGTGTTCGATTCAGAAAGGCTTCCTATAACTTCTATCAAATTTAAAGCCAGATCAGGACAGAAAACTGCTAAATATGTCATTTCTGAGATTAAATGTGCACCAAAACCATTTGGTAAGTAACACAGGTTATAATGAAGATGCATGAATATCCAAAATGAAAATGTGGCATTGGCTGAATAATTGAAATTGAATAATGTTAAGACTTATTTGTGACTACTTTGGTAAGATCAATCCAGCTTCTCCCACCCTTTCTTGTTTCTTACTACAGCATGTTACAGCATTTGACTTTCTGTTGATGATATCGTTGATATACATCACATTACTTGATTATTTCAGACTTGTTAAAGGACTGTGAAGCTATTAAGAAAGACGGTGTTGAAGATGACGGTCCACAAGTTATTGACTTTGATGGACCTGATGGTCCTCTACAACCTACCCTGGTCCATTGTGACCTAAACACTTTTAGCCATGTTGGTGTAACAGTGCTACCTCATGATAAGTAAGTACTCATATTAACATAACAAACTATTTGTCCTTTCAAAATCACATTCATATATACATTCTATTTTACTGTGCTTTCTTTGAATGTACTGTTGTTCATTTTCTATATGACGGAATACTTTCTTTTAGGGGTGAACCTATCGTTCCAACAGAAAATGGAGACAATCCTCTAAGCTATGTGACACCTGGGAAGACTATTTCTGGTGTCATCGCTGGATCAGCATTCTGCTCACAAGAAATCAAATACACATGCAGGGTTTGTATATTTATATACAGAGTACCAGATTGTACAGTAAAATTCTTTATCATCGATCCAAAAATGAGGAATGACAAGATAGCGACATGTAACTATAAGTCTTTACAATGGTCTTCATCTTATACCTTGACTGCAATGGCTCTTTTTCTTGTCCAGGGTCATCGATTTGATTTGGCGAATACAGCCAGTTAGAGGTCTTGATTTCTCGAGGTTTGATAATAATTATATTTATTACAATGGCCTTTTATAGTGTATGTAAATGTATGCTTTCAGTATTCACCTATCAATGTAAATGGAAAACAAGCAGTATTTGTTAGTGTTGGCGATGATTCAAGACAAATAAATTACTTCCCTGGAGCTCAGGGTGAAAATGGTAGTTGTGGTTGTGGTATTGCTGGGTCGTGTGTTAAGAAAGATATCAAATGTAACTGTGATATGAATGATAATACTACTAGATATGATTTGGGTGTAGAAACCAACCCTAAAAACTTACCAATAGTCTCCATCAGCACTGAATCAGATCACAATGAAACATATACAGCCATTAAAGTCGGTCCTCTGAGATGTGCACATCAACAATTCGGTATGCCTTAACATTTACAATAACAATGTTACAAATCGACTTATTCTCTCAACTGAAAAAAGGAAACTCCAACAACTTAACTAATATAAATGTAAACGTTAAACATCTCTCGGGTGCTGTGAAATAATCGCTTTTGTAGGCCTATGTTCAGTAAACGATTATAAATCAAATAGATTGTAACTATGTTACATTTTTGTCTGCAGGACTTGAACCAAATTGTGAGAAATATAGAGCTACTGGACGAGTAGATCCTTATGCTTACCTCATTGATCCCGACGGTCCACCAGATCCTAAAAAGCCTAAGGAAGGTGAGATTTTTAAGAACAATCTCCATGTGTACAGTCAGTTGGGAAACAGTGGGTGATCCCTCCTCCCCTATTGTAGCCTATTTTACTTAAGAAATGTCAAATTATACCACGACGGTGTTGTGCCCCATTAAGCCAGTTTGTCCTCTTATCATAGCTCTAGTGGACAGGACATTATATAGCTTTGTATCACGTACTTCACTTTGTGGGAGCATGTGTTGCAGAAAATGATTTAAGGTGAGATAACGCAGAGAAAAGATGTCTTACCTTATCCGATTAATTGTTCCGACAGTTTTGGTATGAGTAGCCTTACCTATTCGCCATCTTGATTCTTGACTATGCAAAATTCATATTGTGTTGATCTGTGGATAGACAACCTGTGCTATAAAAAAACCCTTAACTATTGCAGTTATATCCTTTCCGTCTTTAACCGACTGGATTTGCGCCGTGTATTCATATGTCTTCTTTCATTTTCAGAAAATGTGGATCCATTCGTTGCTGAGTGTGACTTTACTGACTACCCTCCACAAGGTGTTACAATAATCCATCATGATTCAGAGGAAACAGTAAGTGTTCTGACTTTGTATATCATCTCCATCTCCATTTTCAACGTTATCATCATCATCCATGTATTGCATCATCATCATCATCATCATCATTATCATCATGTATTCGATTTATCATCATCACCGTGTATTCGATTTATCATAATCATCAACGCCATCATCACCGTCCTTGTTTTGATCATCATCATTTATTCAATTCATAATTTGCATTAGATGACTTTCTTAAACAGATTTAACTATCTCTTTCCAGTTTTCTATCTCTGACATCGCCTACATCTTCCAAATCGCTTATAATAGAGTTGTAAAAGATGAACAATTAGTCCGATTGAGAAATAGAGCATCGTATTGTGTACAATCTTTAACGTTTGACTGCAATAATTATCATCTACATTTAGCAGGTAAGAGAGGCTTGCAATGGTACTAGAACAAATGAATGCATATTTTGTATAAACATTAGTATATAAACGGTTTCTATGAATAATTATACGAAAAGATATTGTCTAAAATACTATACTTTAGTCAAGCCGTTTTTATAAATAATTGTACATAAACCGTTTGTATAAATAATTGTGCGTAAACAGTTTGTATAAACAATTGTAAGTAAACAATTGTACGTAAACGGTTCGTTTGAATAATTGTATGTAAACAATTTGTATAAATAATTGTACATTAACAGTTTGTACAATAATTGTACGTAAACAGTTTGTATGTACGTAAACAGTTTTTATAAATAATTGTACGTAAACCGTTTTTATAAATAATTGTAAGTAAACAGTTTG